AAAAAAAAAAAAAAAAAAAAAAAAAAAAAAAAAAAAAAAAAAAAAAGCGGTAGTTGCATAACATAGAAATTATTATAGAGATTAACTCTGCTGGCCTGTTCAAATTTACACTGAGAAAAATTTATCTGGTTGAAAATGAATAAACTAGAAAATTCTAATTATATCAATCAAAATTTTATTATGACAGAAACTAAATTTCTAGTAGATTCAACCAGAAAATTCTGAGATTCGTTCAGATTTTCAGTTAGAATCTTAATTAGTCCAACCAGACATTTTTCTCACAATCTGTACTTCATGTAATCATATCGTTTGTGTCAATATAATTAAAAAACTCTAAAAAATAACAAATTTTTATAGAAAAAAAGATCATAGGTTAATAGACGAAGTCATCAAATATCAAAGAAAAATTTTTTTGGTAAAATATTAGTAAAAAAAAATTACATTCCGAATCAAATAGAACAGACCAACAGGATTATAAAAATATACTGGTAATAACTAATAAATCCAAAAGCTGTGTACAATGCAATTGGCACTTTTAACTGCGAGGTAAATGTACTATCGTAATTACAAATCTCGAATGGAAAGTGGGAATATAGTCGTAAATTTGTCCCTCTTCGAAGTCAAGACTTTATATTCGTATTCCAATTAATCGATAAGGCGCACAAAATTATGTCTCGGATCGCATTATAATTTTCGCCTCAGTCATTGGGCGTAGATGAAGAAAAGAAAAAGTCTAATTGCAAAGTGGCGCTTGGTGTCCCACGCATTATTGTCGACTAGAGAGACAACGGTATCACGAGCCTCTCTGGCGAGACGATAGAAAGGTTACACATGGCGACACGTCTAATCGCGTACTACGACCGTTTACGCTCGCTGCTCCTAATGGCGAGAGAGATAATTGAAAGTGCATGCAAATTTATGTGGGATCGGCGGCGCCGCTTGAAATTCCTTATCGAATATACGCTCGTCGTCTAGCACATCACGAATATGAATTACGACAAGTGATCGCACATTAAAACTGTTGAGTTTTTCACAGAACATTACATACTGTTGCAGCTTTTTAAATGCAATGTGTTTAACTGTACAATTAACTTGTCATACAACAATCTTCGCCGCTTACAAGATATAGAACAGTAAAAACACTCGCAAAACTTATGGAAAAATAATGTTGCTTTTCGAAGCAAAAAAAAAAACAATGAAACGTAAGTTCACATTCAAGAAACATGAAACACAGTAATCGAAGTGGATCTGTGTGCTCGATTATCACGATTTCCAAATTCATTCAACATAATTTTAAAGTACAATTAATATATACGTATATCCTAACAAAAACTTCAAACCGAACTATTGGCAATTTCGTTGTTCGTATTACACTATAAATTATCGTCGATGTGACGCGTATTTTTACTTATCGCAATATTGATGTTATAAATTATAAACGCCAACATTGCGATGAGCAAAAGTTTAATACAAAATATCGACGAATTTTTCTAATGATTATTGCGGATAACGTGAATTTATGTATCGATGTGAGCGCGTTGTGTTTTGCGGTGCAAGATAAATGATACTAAGTTGTCTAACAATAAACAAATAGATTAGCTAATAACACGAATTAAAAAACTAAAGTCGTCCAAGTTATGAGAAGAAAGTTCTCTCGAGCAAAAATTTGTAGTATGCAAAATCGATAATACCATATTACGGAATATATTTAATATTAAAAAATCGAGAACCGACGAATATCTTCTGATTTACCGCAATACACATTCTCATAGTAGTGCATAACAAAGATAGAAATTACATATTATTTTAATTCTACACTTACATGAATTTAATACCGTCATTTTCTCATAATAGTTTTCTGCAGTCGTTTGACCTATTTACGAAAAGATGGGAATCGGAATACCAATAAGAGAAATAATGTCGCATTCAGATTAGAAGATTCGTACACCGCAGTGCAAAAGTACCGCACGTACCGCATAAAGATACGTCTACTGAACACAAAGAAATAGATACACATAGGGACATAGACTTCGCGCAGATATCTTACGTCATCATTCGCAGTAAGATCGTGGATGCTGAGCGTGCATGCGGTGACAAAGATAACACTGGAAGGTCTTACTTTGAGATTTAAATTTTTAATGAGTCAGTGAAAAGTATCACGCATTTATACCCGTAGAAAACAAAAAAACATCGCCGTTAGATATTTTCATCACCATAAAATCATTATAAAATACTGATCTCTCGTATTCGCACATTTTTCTTCGCGCGAGTTCATCCCTCGCAAAATTATATATCGTTGTTTGGAAAAGCGATACGCGCCCATAGTTTCGTATAGAGAGGAACTCACATGCGTCGCGCGAAGGATGCGTATTATAGGCGTCGACATATACGGATCGCGGTACTTTGAAATTGAATCTGTATAGGTTGCAGATGTGTACATATGCATGCGCATAAATGGCGGGGGCCACGCGAAATGTTTAGTATTCCTCGCGAGGGTCCAAGCCCAAGCTTTCAATTTGCGGCTAGCAATTTGTTCGGCCAGCAGTTGCACCCCCGTGCAGCACAAATGCGCGATGCATTCGTTCTGGATGTACGTATTCATCGTAGCGAAGCATCGTAGCGCGCGATGGACGGATTTATACCTAGCTATTACAGTTTCAACGCCGTTCTGAGTGCTTCTCGATTAGGAGACGTTATAAGATGGAGATTCGATAAAAGAGGAGAGAACTCCATGTTTCTATATTCGATGGATTTTCGATAACGTGGATGTAGCAAATTGAGTGCTTTTAAATTGTAAACGTGCGCGCAATGTAGAAATATTCCACGAGGTGAACGTGGAACGCATTGTGGAAGTAACGACTCCTTTCAACGTCGCCGGACTCTATGATACAGATCGCGGTACGCGCCCACAAAGGAACGCGGTAAAAGGAATACACAGGCGTAAATTTCAGTCACTTGCCAACGTAAAATAAACGAAGTTGACGTTCGCACCGCTGTGTCATACCGCGTTCCTGCATAAATTCCTCGCGTCATAACATAAAAAGATTATTTCACGCGTGAGTTCATTAGAGCCTGTTTATCTTGATAGGTACTGGCAACCCTGGCGCTATCTATGGGAACTCTCTCCTCCGGTTTGGCCAAGGGTTACACCTCGCCCGCGTTAGACTCCATATTGGACAATCAACCGCCACATCTTTATCAATCATCCAACAATGACACGTGGTAAGAATTTGAATGTTTAATAACTAGATTATACAGGTATGTTTTTTATAAATAATATAATAAGATTCTTAATACAAAAGCAACAATAATAAATCAAGATATTAAGGATATGTAAGATTCAACGCGCTAAAGTTGCTGCTGTTTTCTATAATTAAACTAGTGTATACTTTTGGAGTTCAAAGTGGAATAGGTACGCGTTTGATTATTTAACAAAAGCCAAAAAGAGTTCAAGTAGAGTCTAGTGCAGGAATAAAAGATAGACCTTATCAGGCGAATTCCATGACGATCAAGTTTAAATGACTGAAACACAAACATGTAATCTTTCGGCCCATTTTTTTATATCGTTACTCAATCTGGATTTAAATATATATATCTCATAGCTGTTAATATAAACATATTTTTATTTGATTCGGAATAAAAAGAAAAAAGAGCAATTTTATGTTGCATATATTTCATTATTTTCATCATCGTAATAACGTCACCAAAGTTGATAAAATTACTCGTGAAATTTATGACAGAGAGCACCGTAAATTTTTGGTGATAACAACACCGATCCAAATAATTGGACACAAATAAAAGTAAGATGCTCTTTTTTATCTTCTCTCATTCAATCAAATTAAAAAGATGTTTATGTTAATATATAATCTAGAAAATGTTCTATTAACTATGTACTATATGTACTATATGTTACTATATGTTATGAGTTATCGTATATGTGTTTGAATGCAGGTTGGAAGATTGTGATTTAGCGCCATTTAAATTTGATCTTAGGAACTCTTGTGGAATGACTTAATTGATCTAATGCACGTAAGAAATTCACTGTTGTTCCGTGCTACGCGAACTAAAGTTTCGTCTTGTTAAATAATATCGGATTTCAATCCGAAACGTCGACACAGTCGTGGACAATTATATCCACGCGGTGGCTTATTCGAGCGTCACGTTTCTGGTTGCTAATTCCGGGATGCGTTTACTGCGACGACAACATGCGAACTCTACTGGGAAGTAGAGCTGTTCGCAAATAATACGACTCGACAACTGACGCAGACAAGAGACGCGGCTGCCAAGAGAGATTACGTTTGCACCTGACGTCTGCCATGGCATTTTGGGAACAATACCCAATACATCGAGAGTGTCTCCTGGACGCGTCTGAATTGACGCCCAGAGTTCAGACGATATAAAATACCGCGCGATAATCGCATTTACGCTTTCTTGCGTAGGTTGGCTTTTTCGGTTACGCAACAGGAAGCTTCGTGGGTTGCATCGCTGTCCATGCTGGGTGCGTGGTTCGGTGCCATGCTCGGCGACTGGATAATGCGGAGAGGTCGTCGTTTGGCCTTACGCACAACATCCTTGCCTCTGGCAGGAGCCTGGGTCTTAACGGGCGTCGCACCGTGCGTAGAGCTGGTGTACGTCACAAGTTTCATCGGCGGACTTTGCTGTTCAGTCATCACCATGGTGGCGCAGGTAAAGAAAAGAGATTCGATTCGATTGATTCGATTGAAAAATTATACATCTTAGTCGACGCATGAGCAAATGGCTTTCGGCAGGTGTACATATCGGAAATCTCGATGCCGGGTATTCGCGGATGTTTGTCAGCGATGTTGAAGGTGCTCGGTCACGTTGGTGTCTTGCTGTCGTACATAGCCGGCACATATCTGAATTGGCGGCAAAGCGCACTACTGGTGGCCGTCGCGCCGTCGATGCTCTTTTTGGGGACCCTCTTTATACCCGAGACACCGTCGTATCTCGTATTAAACGGCAAAGATGACGAGGCTGCCAACAGTTTGCAGTGGCTGCGCGGAGAACACGTCGATATAAGACACGAGTTGCAGGTAATTTTCCGAGTTTATGAAAAATGAATAACTTTCAGATCATTGCTTAATTCATAATATCAAATTACATGACTTTAATTGGTTTTAATCATTTCTACAGATCACTGCTTGTACTCTCAATATGTTGTTAATATTTAATTAAAACAATGAAGTTAAATAATTTAACCCAAGAAAATTAAATTCCATTCAAATGTATCATATTAAGCTCGACTCTTATTACCAATTTATCATTTATCCAGTGAATACGTTAATATGAACGTTGTCTACTTCGAAACTAAGATTGATTTTGAAAGTTATTTATAAAAATAGCAAAAGGGATACCATTATTCCTTTGATTAACTGACTGAGTGAATAGAGCGGCTGTCTTCTGATATCTCTCTCGACACAAATCAACGAGCGTCAATACGACGCAAACGAGGTCCGATATAAATTTGCAATTAACGATATGCCTTCAGGTCATCAAAACGAATATTCTGGCTTCGAGGGCTAAGCAGTACGAGCTAAGCTTTAAGAACAGCATGTTTACACCGAGACTATACAAACCCATCGCTATCACGTGCGGTCTGATGTTCTTCCAACGATTCTCCGGCGCGAATGCGTTTAATTATTATGCGGTACTTATTTTTCGTCAGACCCTAGGTGGAATGAATCCTCACGGAGCGACCATAGCGATCGGATTTGTACAGCTATTGGCTTCTTTACTGTCAGGTACATTAAACAATTTCAAACGATCTCGTGGGGCGATACCCAGCGAAATTGAATTCCATAATTAATTAAGATTATGATGTGAACAAAAGAAATTATTCCCTTTCTTATTAGATATATTTGCTTTTTGTCACACTTAACCGAATTCGTATCACTCGCAGGATTTTTGATTGATATAGTCGGCAGACTACCGCTTTTGATAGCCAGCACCGTTTTCATGTCACTGGCGCTCGCCGGTTTCGGCAGCTACGCGTATTATGTGTCTCAAACGCAAAATCTTGGCTACGTGGACTCGGCGGTGGTGGGCCAGCACGACTGGATACCGCTACTCTGCGTACTCGTGTTCACGACCGCCCTCGCCCTGGGCATATCGCCAATTTCCTGGCTATTGATTGGCGAACTATTTCCGCTGGAGTACCGCGGCCTCGGCTCCAGCATTAGCACGAGCTTTAGCTACTTTTGCGCGTTTTTCGGGATCAAGCTCTTTATGGACTTCCAGCAGGTGAGGAGGTTTTCATATTCTTTTTAAGATATTAACAAGTTACTCAGGACTTCAAGGACTAAGTTAGAAACTAAGTTCAAGATTCTTCGAAGTAAGATTTTAAATGAGAAAATTCATAAGAAGGAACACGGCGTTTTAAGTAATACATTATATTTCGCTGGAGTAATTCGCCCAGATATATACCACATTTTATTCATACAATATATTATTCTCTACAATTAATCAACGACAAACTTCTGTAATGATGCAATTGATAACTTAAGAGAGTTGTGGGAACTTCTTCTCTTTTCAGAGCCTCGGTCTACACGGAGCCTTTTGGTTTTACGCCGCCGTGGCGGTCTGCGGACTGTGCTTCGTAGTCTGCTGCGTGCCTGAGACGAAGGGCAAGCAGCTGGACGAGATGAATCCGGATTATGCGCAAGCACGGTAGTATAAGGCCTCGCTGACGGGGGGTCTCTCGAACTTAGAGAAGGCGAACAAGCCTTTACCGGGTGGTGCTTATCCGAACGAGCACGATCCGCGGGATCTCTACCGCAACGATCCGTCAATAGCGACTTCCAGCGTCGCGATGCCGTCTGCGCGCGTCGCTCATCGCAAATTGTCGGATTACTGCGGTATCTTCGCCGAGAAAACTAACAGAATCGGTAGAAACGTGGAGAGCTTCATGCAGTCTCGCGGCTTGCTACCGATTCGTCGCTCGGTCGACGAAACGCCGCGTCGTGACGCGCTCGGGATTAACGGCGACGTGATCAGGAACGACGACCCACCGTCGCGAATCGATCGCGAAACGAGCGAGAACCGTCGTCATCGGTACGAGACTCTTGATTATGAGCGGCCACGGAGGAACGGCGGTCAGAAGAAACGCGTGGCGTACTCCAACCACAGCGCCTATCCCCGGGACCCAATGCGAGCGGACGCGAGCTACGTTCGTCGTTTCAACGCGACGGAGCCCCGTCGCGTCGGCAACAGACGCGAATACGCAGAAACGGATTACGACGCGACGGACACCTGGAGACGAGACTTGGACCTCGCGAGGGGAGGTCTGTATGTCTTCAAGCCGATTCTAAGAAACGGCATCAATCACGGTGGGGACGAGAGGCCGTATTACTCGACCCTACCGCGGCGCAGCAGAACCATCAACTTTAAGGATCAAGCACGCGACTCCCCGGAGGGAGAACGACGGCGCACGTATCCGAAGAGCCTGCAGGATCTAACGGATTTAGAGCTCGATGACGTCACGTGTCTCCCAACCGCCCGCGGTGGGAATGATACTCGAGGGGAGAGACTCGACGACAATTATCGTCGACGTAACAGGTATCGTCGAGGGGAGGGCGTATCACCTTTCGACGACGATTATCTCAAGCTCTGCAGAAGCCTGTCGAGATTGGATAAGTATCCGCGAGGCAGTAGATATGGACCAGGTCAAGTACACTACGAGAGGGAATGCAGAACATTCGGCAAGGATACGGTCGCCTTTATCTACTATAAGACGTGCTATTTATGATCTAAAAAGGAAAACGATACAAACGAGCAGTCGGGGGTTCTCTCATCGATAGACCGTCCATCGATACCCATGGCTCACGATCTCAAGCAGAAATGCGCGTATGGCCGATTCGAATCGGTCGTTTCGAATCTTTCGTTCCGGATCCAGCGGTTTAACCAGCGGAAGTATTTTCTACTCGATTAAATGGCATAGGGTTTTGTGTTGAACTGACGAATTACAAAAGTTATCAGTAGTAAATGCGTATTGCAGAAAAGAATCCCTTCAAATTCATATCTTCTTAATGATAACATATCTTTATCAGGATGTAAAGAGGATACTTGCGTGAGGAAAAAAAGATCTGTATAAAAAAAAATAACCGAGTAACCGAATCACAAACTGCCTTCACGTCTGGCTTTAATAATTAAATCGTTTCTCGACTGATAATGAAATTATATCATCGAGCTTTAAATAGTAACTTCTTATGTATAGTAACTTTTTCTCCAAAAAAAAAAAGAAAGAAAAAAACGTGATATCACTTTTTTCCTTTCAGAAATCATCTTACAGAGCTAGATTAAGTTTTTTTTTTTTTTTTTTAATAAACGACATAAATTGTTATGCTCATTCCACACTAATTATTCAGTATCGTATCTCTTTGAGATGTTTTTGAAGCTATAAAGGATAATTGTAAAAAATGATCAAAAACGATACCAAATAATATCTGAATAGACACTAGCATCAGATTAGATCTACGTAAAATCGCACCGTGTAAACTATCTTATGCTTATCGTATTATCCGCAACTTTATATTAATTTCCGGAAATACGGTTTTTTTTTTCGGATTGAATTATATTTCTTTACTAATAAGTTTTTAATATTCAAAGCTTATTCAAGTCAAGAGGCAATGCTATCATACCGTACTTTCCAAGGAAGAATGCGCGACAATATTTTACGCGAAAAAAAATGTGTATACCACAAGTAAACAATTTAAAATTAACAGAGTCCTTAGAATAGGCTCGATAGACTGCTCGTAGACTGCCAAGTTAGTCTTTCTGTAAAGTAGTCAGTATATGTAATGAGTTGCAATAATTTCTGCAGCTATATTTTCAGCCGTTAATGGTGTTCGAGCACCATTTCTTTCGAGAATATCGCGATAAGCCTCGAGAGAAAAGGTAAAAGATTACAATTACCAACGCTAGAAATAATGTTTTTACAGCTAATATGCTGCAGGGGCATTCGCGTTATTAAACAAGTTTACGACAATATATAGAGTATACTTTTGCGGACGTAAGCAAAATATCTTTTGCTAACTTCAGAATATCGAGGCCTCGTTGCATAGCACAGGCATCGTTGACTTGACTACGACAATATCGATTTGTAGATATATCTACATATGTTTCATATAAGATGCGTATTGTGTACATTGGTTATTGTATATTATATACATATATCTCTGTGTCGTATTCGTGGAACTTACGCAATTAGTGACGATACGACGCGATATAGCCGATAAACAAATTCCCGACAATACCACAAATTACTAATTTCGCGAAGCCGGTAGAGCGAAATTCGGTACTATTAGCTTTATGAAAATATTAATGCATATGTACTACGTGTAACGTTGAAAGCAGCTATACCTAACACTAAATATCTGCGGGATCGAGGGTGAAGTCCCTCATCTGTATAACTAATCTTGATTATTTATCTAAGTCTTCTGCTTTCGACGATCTCCTGCATTTCTCAAAAGTGTAGCCATTCGAATGGCGGAGTCGCGATTAGACGAAGGTCTCCATAATTATGTACGTATTTTATATTTTTATATAGTTTGTAGAATAACGTTGAGAGAAAAAGAGAGAGAACGAGAGAGAGAGAGAGAGAGAGAGAGAGAGAGAGAGAGAGCAATTCACATGACAAAGTATTTGTTAGAAGTTGACTACACTTTGCGGATCACAGCTTATATCTGTGATAATCCACGCGCGAAAAAAATTTCCTTAAAATATTTATCGAAACTATATGATATCAACGAAAAACAAAATGCCGAACGTAATATAACGAATTTGATTTGAGAGATAAAGACGATACGAAGAGGAAATTTTTCGTCGCGTGGATCGCGCAAACAGAAACTATTACATCTGTAATTATCTATCGAACCCGTGAGTCATATCCCTGCCATATCCTATACGTAAACGAAGTGTATGAAAGTCGCGGAAGCACATCAAATCCCCGTACTTAAATATTTCCGCGTGTTTCTGTAGACAGTGATCGATCGATGCGACGCGGGGGAGAGAAAAATTTGCGTTTTTTCACGAAATTATATTGATTCGTAAAAAATACATTCCATTTTTTATACATATAAATTACGCGTATGCGGTACGCGAAAAAAATAATATTGCCAACGTCGAAATTCGAAAAACGAACATATCACGTATAAGAGAAAATAATATTTCGGTATCGGCATTACTGTCTACAAGAAGCGAGCACACGCACCTTCCTATCAACAAAAATATCTTGCTAAATATGTTACATAAAGTGTCTTGAAAAAATATATACCAGCGTATCCCAATTTATTGTGAAAAAATTTTAGTACGATTATCTTTCATTTTTTATATTAAATGTAAGCGTTGGTAATGAAATTATATTTTTGCTACAAAAAATGATCAATTATCTAAAATATGAGACTATAATTTGTCGAATTGGTTAACACATTTATGAATGTTTAAGATAGTGAAAGTCATTTTACAGTGGTATATATATTTTCAAAGCATTGTATATTTTATGCTCAAGGGCTTGGATACAGTATTGGGTAATATCTATAATTAGTTTTAACGCGGTGCAATGCTCGTGAAACGAGTGTACATAAGATATACGATTAACTTCCGAATTTTACGTAAATCATAAAAAAGTTCTCGATAAGATTATCTCGTTCTTAGTATACCGCGCCGAATAAGCGAGCTTTACTATTTGCCGAGTGGCATATCATATATTTACAGCGACCACCTTGCGTCAGATCTTCCATGTAATAAGAAAAAAAAAAAAAAAAAAAGAAAATCTCTCCCTTCCCTTGTAGATATGTTAAACTATATAAAACAAAAATCTGCACTGTGCACTCTCGTGAATTGAAAATTTATCGTAATATGTAGCGGTAATAGTGAAATTCAGGATCAAGATTTCGCATTACTGCACGTTTAGGATCACGATAGTCCCAATAAAATGTCTGTATATCGCGTACGCGGATATGTATGTGTTCGTGTGCAAGAAAGCTCGCGGATGAGTGGCGTGTAATTGCGGGTGACTATGGCAGCTTTTAGATGTACGCCACGCAAGTAGGTTTATCCCTTTATTCCCCTTTTATGCGAAACAAAAGCGGCAAACATTAGAGGTTGGCGAAGACTATAAACTCGAGATCGTAATATTAATCTGCGTTAGCAAATTAAAAGTGCATACTTAGCGCGTGCAATCAGATTACAGCAAATAGGGATTCAATCTAGGAATTCGAATTTATATACGTATGTTACTACACACGCGATATATTATATTATCTGGACGTGATGGAAAAGCTTTACGGAAAGAATCACATTATAATTCTACTTAACGACAATAAATTCACTATACAATTTATCGACAATAAATAGTTCAAATGGAAATTAGCGCTGGCCGTCGCTAAGATGATTAAATCTTATATCATCACAGATATTAAAATTATGAAGACGTATTTTCAATGAAGAAAAAGAAAGAGAAAAAGAGAAAGAGAAAGAAACAGTGGAAAGAGAACAATAAGAGAATAAATAAAAAGAAATAAATATATATGCATATACACCGATCTTGTCTATAACGAGCCACGTTTAGCTTCGCTTGCTAGATTTAATATTTTTGTAATGATGCCTAGGAATGTATAGCTGGTGTATTTGTACCTTCATAGAGTTAACATTTAGATTATACTCTCTATAAACGTTGCATCTTCAACGCGAT